TATAGTTAATTAATTAAAAATTAAAAAAACAAAACCATATATACATATTTGTTCTTACCGGAAATCTGCTGTGGAGATGATCTGCCGAGTAAGATTGGTGAGCCTCCTTCGCTGGTATGTTGGTGTTCCAAGATGGGGGTGGTACCTGCAAAAGAGACTCCAATGCTAAAATTAGAGTTTGTGTGAATATGAGTATCGTATAAATAATGCACGTACCTTAGTGTGAGTTAGTGTACTATCCACACTCCAGAGCCGAGCTCCCAGCTCGGCATCACAACATAAGACGATCTCGGGCACGCGTCGTGTGGCGTCAGATCGGCACTTAAATAGATCATAACCGATCTCAGGGGATCTCGCTCTAGATGAGATCCGTTATCTAATCATATCATATCTTATCTTAGGCCCAAGGCCCAGAGCAACCCTAACTCACACTAAGGTACGTGCATTATTTATACGAGACTCATATTCACACAAACCCTAATTTTAGCATCGAAGTCTCTTTTGCAGGTACCACCCTCATCTTGGAACACCAACGTACCAGGGAAGGAGGCTCACTAATCTTACTCGGCAGATCATCTCCACAGCAGATTTCTGGTAAGAACATTTGGCGCCCACTGTGGGGCCGATCGAGACAAGCTCTTATCGGCCACGCTCATGGTATTCACAAGAAGCCATAGTAGACGCGCAACAGACGACGCAGAACTTTCAACTGCCATGGATAACGAAGCCACATTAAGGAGACTGATCGACCAGGTCGAACAGATGCGGCAACAACACGATGCCAATCTACGCAACATGCGTGCCAAGCATGAAACCGACCTAGCGGCAATGCAGACCGCCAATGAAGCCGACCTGGCGGCGTTGCGCGCCGAGAACGAGCGTATTCGCGCTCAACTCCTTCGGCGTCCCTCTAATCCTCAGCCTCAAGCGAGCAACCTCCACGGGGAAGAGACACACTCAGTCTCCCAGCCCCGGACTGCAACTAGGGGCCCAACCCCCAGACCTGCTTCACACCGGTCTCATGCACCAACGCACAAGCCGACCCATGAAGACAACAAGGCTCCTACTCATGTCGTAGGGGATCAGACAACCTTCCGCCGCCACCCTTTCGTAGATGGCATCATGGAGACACCACTCCCTCACGGGTGGAAGCCTCTCCACCTCGATCGCTACGATGGCACGACGGACCCAGACGAGCACATCGACCTATATACGACGCAGGTAAACCTCTACACTAACAATGATGCTATTCTGTGTAGGGTTTTCCCAACCTCGCTCAAAGGGGCCGCGCTCAACTGGTACACCCAGCTGCCAGCCGAGTCCATTGACAGCTTCGGCACCCTGGTCAGCTGGTTCACGACACAATATGCAACAAGCTGACCTCACCACATCACCTCTGTCGCCCTAGCTAGTCTGAGACAAAACGACGACGAGCCACTCCGGGTGTTCATGGAGCGATTCGCCAACACCTCGGTAAAGATTAGGAATCTAAATCCCGAGGTCGCCCTACACGCCATACTCATGGCACTCAAACCCGGACCGTTCGTCGACAGCCTATGTCGTGAAGCACCTCGCGATATGGACGGCCTCCGTGCTCGTGCCGCTGGGTACATTCAGATGGAGGAACATTTTGCTTTCCGTGACCAGGTTCGCGAGAAATCACAGGTAAAACCCAACGGTGGCCACAAGGACAAGGTCAAAGTCAATATGACAGCCAGTTCAAGAAGTCGGCTAAGGCAAACAGAGGGTGGAGATATGACTTCTATACTCCCCTGAACACGCCCAGGGTACATATCCTGGAGGAGGCCAGTAACAACAATCTGCTCACCCTCCCACCGCCAGGGCACACCCCCAACAACGCCGACAATCCAAGCATTGTCGGTACCATAGGAATCATGGTCACACCACCGAGGAGTGCCGCTCACTTCGGGACTGTATTGAAGAACTCATCCAAGCAGGCCACCTCGGCCAATATGTCCAGCGACCGCAGGGTCACCGAGGAGGCTATGGCGGGCGGGGGCGGGGCCGAGGCCGTGGTTCAGGGGCTCGCACGGACCAACCCTCTAGTTCTCAGCAGAATGCCGGCGGAGTAGTGCAAGCCGAGGTAGGCCAAGAGACAGGATCAGCTCCCCTACGGGGAGTTATCAATACAATTGCAGGCAGATTTGCAGGGGGAGGTGCCACCAGCTCGGCCCGAAAGAGACACCTACGCAATATCAACAGTGTCCACTCCGCTACCTCGGCATCGCATCAGAGCTCACCTCCGATCTCTTTCTCCGACGAGGACTACGCTGGTGTCAGCCCCAATCAAGATGACCCCATGGTCATCGCCGTAGAAATAGCCAACTGGGAAGTTCAGAAGACGCTTATTGACCAAGGAAGTTCAGCCGACGTTCTATACTGGCCAACCTTCCTCAGGTTAGACATCCCCCACTCTCTCATCCAACCTCACACAGAGCCCCTAGTTGGTTTTGCAGGAGAACGAGTAAACACACGGGGATACTTGGAACTGTTGACCACCTTCGGAACCTCTCCGGACACAAGGAGAATTATGGTCCGATACCTTCTTGTGGAAGCCAACACCTCCTATAACATCATCATTGGGAGGCCGACGTTGAACCAGCTCGGAGCAGTGGTGTCTACTCCACACCTAACCATGAAGTTCCTAGGAAACGACGGTCGTCAAAGGAAATCAGAAGACAGCTCGACAGTGCTACGCCGAGAGTCTGAAGATCTCCTTGTCTGGCGAGAAAAGTAAGCAAGACCCCCCCACCGTGGCTCACAACAACCACGTGGGGGTCACTGACCTCAGCCCAAGGACCGATCCCCGTAGGGGAGGACAAAGCCTTGCTAGAGAGCCCGAAGACAAAGCTCAAACCCACCAAGAAGCTTGCAACCCCCAACAACAAGAACACGACGGACAACCAACACCGCGAACCCGGAATGCTTCGCATCCCAAGTCCTATCTCAGCTAATTTTATATAAATGAGTTATGTACTCTTTTCCCACCTCAGTCTCTTATCCCAAAAACGGGTTTTGGCTGAGAGAGTTTTTAACGAGGCACATATATTCATCAATAAAATAACTCATTCTCTTCTATTCACAATCTCTTATCTCCATCACTTTACCACAAGGTGCTCTATGTTTAAGCACGCTTACCCGAGGTCGATTTCGAACCTTAATAAATTCCATTTTACTCTAATTTAAGGTCGAGTACGAACCTTAAGCACGCTTACCCGAGGTCGAGTTCGAACCTTAATAAATTCCATTCTACTCTAATTTAAGGTCGAGTACGAACCTTAAGCACGCTTACCCGAGGTCGAGTTCGAACCTTAATAAATTCCATTCTACTCTAATTTAAGGTCGAGTACGAACCTTAAGCACGCTTACCCGAGGTCGAGTTCGAACCTTAATAAATTCCATTCTACTCTAATTTAAGGTCGAGTACGAACCTTAAGCACGCTTACCCAGGGTCGAGTTCGAACCTTAATAATTTCCATTCTACTCTAATTTAAGGTCGAGTACGAACCTTAAGCACGCTTACCCGAGGTCGA